GGGCAGCCCGGATGTCGTGCCCTTCAAGGCCATGCAGCCCAAGATGACGGCCACCGAGTACCTCGGCACGCGCATCTCGTCGCTCAAGCCGCCCATGGCGCCGGTTCCCAACCCCATTGCGCTCCTCAAGACGCTCGACCGGCTCCAGTGGCTCAACTTTGGCGTCGGTTTTGCGGCCTGGACGTGGGACGCGTTTGATTTCTTCACCGTCTCGATGACCCTCTCGGACCTCGCCAAGGAGTTCCACAAGACCAACACGGAAATCACGTGGGGGATCTCGGTCACACTCATGCTGCGTCCGATCGGCTCTGTCATCTTTGGCATCGCCGCTGATCGGTATGGCCGCAAGTGGCCGTTCGTTATCAACAACATTCTCTTCATCGTGCTCGAGCTCGCGACGGGCTTTTGCACCACGTTCACGCAGTTTATGTGGGTGCGCGCGTTCTACGGCGTCGCGATGGGCGGGATGTGGGGCATGGCCGCGGCGACGGCCCTCGAAGACGCCCCCGCGGCTGCTCGCGGTCTCATCTCTGGTATCTTCCAACAAGGTTACTCGTTCGGGTACCTTCTCGCGGTCGTCTTTGCCCGTGCATTTGTCAACACGACGAGCCATGGGTGGCGTCCGCTCTTTTGGTTTGGCGCGTGTCCGCCGGTCCTCATCATTCTCTTCCGCATGATGCTGCCGGAGACCAAGGCGTTCACGGAGCGCCACCTCCGTCGCGCGGAGGCAGCCTCGTCGACGTTTGTCTCGGAAGGCAAGCTCGTGCTGCAGCGCCAGTGGGTGCTTCTCGGCTACCTTGTCTTGCTCATGACTGCCATGAACTTTCTCTCGCACGGCTCGCAAGATCTGTACCCGACGATGCTCAAGAACACGCTCTCGTTCAGCGCGAATGAAGTCACGGTGACGCAGGTGGTCGCCAACCTCGGTGCGATCATCGGCGGCACCTTTATGGGCTACTACTCGCAAGTGTTTGGCCGCCGCTTGAGCATCCTCGCGTGCGCCGTCGGTGCGGCCTGCGTTCTGTACCCATACTGCTTTACGACCAACCATGGTATCACTGCCGCCGCCTTCTGCATGCAGTTCTTCGTCATGGGCGCTTGGGGTGTCATCCCGATCCACCTCATGGAGCTCTCGCCGCCGTCCTACTCGACGTTCATCGTCGGCACCTCGTATCAGCTTGGCAACCTCATCTCGGCGACCGCGGCAACCATCGAGGCGTCGCTCAGCGAAGTGTACCCGCTGCCGCAGACACAGGCGGGTGTCGAGCGCTACGACTACGCCAAGGTGATTGCAGTCCTCTTGGCGATCGTGCTCGGGTCGCTGGCGCTGCTGACGTTTCTCGGGCCCGAGAAGCGCGGCCAAGAGTTTGATCACGACGAGACCCTCGACGGTCCGTTTGTGGACGACGACGACGGTGACGTTGAAAAGCCCAAGATGTAAAGAAAAGGGCGAGACTGTAGGATGTGGATCGTGTATTTTGTGAATTGAATTCGACTATTGTGTGAACATTTGAAAGGGCAATGTGGGCAAGATTTGTGCAAAGTGGCATCATTTGGACGTCATGTAGTACGTCAACGGACAAACACCGGCCTTGCAACGGAGGCAACTGCCACTCTTCTCCACACTGGGTCAGAAAAGCCAATCGAATTAGTCCAGAGTACTTGTCCAAGTACTGTTAATGCTCTTATATACCCTTGCATAAGCTTAGTTGATTGGCGCAATATGTATCAAAGGGATTCTGGCCGGAATACTGCCTCGGGGATTTGGGTTCGACCTGGTATTTGACGACATACATGAGAACGGTGCAACCACTCTGCACCTTGGCTGCGAGGTGCAGTATGTTGTTGTACCACCTCGTGGCAGGTCAATGACGTGGCAATGGCACAGCGCGCTTCGACACACTGTGGTAATCGGCCAGGTGTTGCTGTTGTTTCCAAGTTGTCACCAACGTCCACCTCCGTGCACTCAACGGAGCGTGCATGCAAAAGGTTTTTCATTGGTCGCAGAATACCTACTATTTCGGAGCCAGCTTGATCGGAGGCAGTGCGATGCAAGGCACAACGGGGGCCATGGTGGGTGCCGTGACGCAGCTCGTCCGGGCGACACAACCATAGACGCCATTGTCCAAGAGCTGGCACTCGGATCCGCGCGGCAGCCCCGGTTGCGCCACGGGGCACGCGCCGTTGCGAATGTTGGCCGAGCAGTAGCCCGCTGCGTTGGCGCGGGTGCAGTACGAGTCCATGCCCACAACACTAATAGACGTCCAGCCGTCGCTCGTCGGGAAGACGCAGCTCTCCAGTGCTGGGATCGTCTGGTCGAGGACGCATGGGGGTCCATCCGCCGAGCTGCTACCGAGCGAGCCGGATTCGAGCGACGTCGAGAGCGCATTGCACGCGTACAGGCCCGTGACGACATTCTTCGTGCACGTCGAGCCAAAGGTAAGGTTCGGTTGAGGCCCGGGGCACGCACCGTACGCGCTCGGTGAGCACAGGGCGCCGGTTTTCGCGACGCAATAGGCGTAGCCACCGACAAAGAGCTGCGCGCACCGTTCGGGTGGGACGACACCGGCGTTTGCAGTGTGGACGGTCGACGTCCCAAACGCCGCGAGGAGCCACAGTGTCAAGGGGCTGGAGTGCATCGGACGAGTTGAAAATTGAAATGCACGAACAATACGTTCTCGGCGGTGCTGCCGTTGGCGAGACGCAATCTCGCCGGCGCCTTCCCGTCGAAAGCGAGCACATCGCCATGCTATTTTAGCCCAACGCCCCTACAACGCGATGCTGCATCTTCGTAGCCCGCTTATCGACACCTTCGTCCGTGCATGTCTCTAGATTCCGCCTTTCAGCTCGGCGGTGCAAAAGTGTGTTTGGGGTCCTTGCAGCATCAAGCTCATAATTTGAAACAGAGTGGCTCAACAAGAAAATGTCGGAGCCAAACATATATGCCCATTTATACATGACACTATGTCCACGCGTACGACCGGTACTAGTATCGAGTGCTCGCAGGAGTCGTTTGCACGTCAGCGGTGTGGTGGCACCATATCCGGATACATCCGGATAAACCACTTGAATCCATTCGCGATGGACCTTCTCCAAGGATACGAGTCAGCGACCTCGGACTACGCGCCGAGCCCACCGCGCTTGAAGCGCAAGGCCGCGTCGTCGCTGGCGCATGCGATCAAACTGCCGACGCCCAATGCAGCCGCTTACCAGCCCAAACGGCGGGCCATCGCACGCGCTCCATCCTCCGCGCCCAAGGATCCGGAGCCGCTGCCAACGTTGTTGGACGCTGGCACGGTACCACCAGCCGCCGCAGTCAGTGACGCCACTGTCCCGTCTCGCGAGCTCCAGCGCTGGCGTGCTTCATACCGCATCAACTGCGTGCGCTGGAACCCACGTTTCCCGTCGCTCCTCGCCACGGCCGGCATGAGCTCGACCATGCACATCTTCGACGCGTTTCGCGCCGTCTGCAAGCGCCAGCTCGACGGGCTGCATACCGACGCGATCAAGGACGTTCAATGGGTGCTCGATGGGTACGCGTATGTTTTCTCGACGCATCCAACGTGATCCTGCATCGTAGGCAAAGCCTCGTGAGCGCCAGCTACGACCGGACCCTCGTGCACGTCGATGTCGAGACGATGCAGGCCCGCGCCACGTATACTGGTACGCACCGCTTCACAGCGTTGGCCATGCACCCCAGCGACATGCACCTCGTTCTTGCCGGCGACGACGCTGGGCACGTCGTCTGCTGGGACCTGCGAGACCGGCAGCCGGCCCGAGCGCTTCAGCAGACGTGCGGGGAGGTCCATGCGCTGGCCTTTCTCCCCGATATGGCCTCGCCTCGCAGCCGCACGCAGTTTCTCTCGACCAGCACCGTGACCAAGACAAGTGCGGCGGACAAGGCGGTCGCCGTCTGGGACTTTGACAGCGTACGCTTCGAAGTCTTGGTCGATTGTTGATCCAGCGTAGGGCGCGCTTGTCAAACAGTGCATCTACAGCCAAGGCTATACATGCTCGTCGATCAGCGTACGTGACATTTCGCTCTCTACGACTGTCGTGAAAGCTATTGTGTAGGTGCATCCGACGGCGCCGTATCTCGCGCTTCAGTCGCACGGCAACTACATTGCGACCGTCTCGACACGGACTCTCAAACTCTCCAAGGTTCGGTTCATGTGCATTTGCTGCAAGGTTAGCCATATTTTGTTATCTGTAGAGACGCTACGAAGGCCATACGAGTCAAGGCTACGGTGTTCACTGCTCGTTCAACGCGACGGGGTCGCTTCTCGCGTCTGGCGATGTCCACGGGCACGTTTACGTCTACGAGGCGCAGCGTCCGCGCCTCCTCTTCTCGGCGCGTCCCCACACCAACGTGTGCATGACGGTGCAGTGCCATCCGCGGTACCCCCACGTGTTAGCGACCGGCGGCTGGGACAATATTGTCACGGTGTGGACATAATATTGTCTTGTGAAATAGATATATATTGTACGTCTTTAGTAAACAGGTCTTACAATTTCGAGTAGGACGCGGTGATCCACGACGCGAGCTGCGGCAGCGTCGCACGCTGCGCCGGGTCCGGTTGCAGCGCGCCAGCAACGAGACGCAAGTATGGCGTTGGCACGTGGCGCGCCGCCAAGTCGGCGACTACCTCGTCGACTAGACATGGATTTAGTTGCTGGGATGGATTCGAATAAGTACCAGGACGTACGGCCACACGAGGCTCGTTGGTGCCCAACAGAAACGCGACAGCGACGGCGCCGAGCGACCAAATGTCGGCCGACCAATCGTACACGACAGGCTCACCGAAAAAATACCGTCGCACCTCGGGCGCCATGAAGGCCATGGTGCCGGCCGCATGACGCGTCACAAGGGCGGTCTCAAGACACGTCGAGACGCCAAAGTCCGAGATCTTGACGACGCCGTCGCTCTAGCACAGGTCACGCGCTCAGATACATAGGCCCGCATGCGTCGTACGGTGAGGAGGAGGTTCTCGGGCTTGATGTCGCGATGGACGATCGCGTGCTTGTGAATCTCAGTCAGACCCGAGCAGAGCTGCAAAAAGAGGCGTGCAAAGACGTCATCGGACATGCGCGTTCCGTCCTAGTACGCGTCATAGGACGTCCTATCAACTAGACACAACGAGACGACGTACGAGTTTCGCAATGTAATCGTGCAGTGTGCCGTTGTTGCAGTACTCGAGCTCGAGGTAGACATAATGCAAATGTCCAATCTACAACTCAATATTGTCATCGTGTCTAGACAAAAGAGGTGCGAGGCTTACCTGCTCGATAAAGTACCCGTCGAGACGCACAATGTGCGGACTCTTCAGCTTGGAGAGCAAGTTGACTTCGTTCATGGCCTCTTGGAGCTTGTCGCTTTCCTTGAGGACGCAGAGCTTTTGGGACGATCGTCTATTGTATACGTCATCAGACAAAGAGGCCCAGCGGACGCGCACCGCTTCATGAGCATGACTTCGGAAAAGTTGCCCGAGCCCAACGTCCGCACGTACTCGTAGCGGAGGAGCTTGGACGGCTCGAGGAGCGACGCGACGCGGTTCGCCCAGCGGGTGGCGCCGTCCATGTCGACGATCGTGTTGACGAGCTCTTGGACGTCGTCCACCTCATGTTTCGTCTCGGGCGGGCTCGTGAGACGCGTGCCGATCGAGATACTGCGCAATGCATGGCTAATACGGCGGACTGCTTTCGGGCCATAGTGGCCCAAGGTGGCACTCGCCGCGGCCAGCGTCACCGTCTCAAGCGAGAGCGATCTCTTGACCGACTTGTGCGTTGTCGTGGCCGCGGCTTGGTGCGCGGGGCGCAGAAACGGAACCTTCTGAAAGCACACGCCGCACATGACGCGCGTTGCATGGTCGTTGATGGCCATGGTCTCAAAACACGGCGCGCAGACGGCGTGGCGGCAGTAGAGCTGGACAAGCGGGTCGTCCGTGAACGACTGGCAGAGCGCGCACCCGAGCGCGCCCCGCTCGATGGTCGCGAGCTGGTCGTTAAAGCCGACGAGCGACGCTTCCAGCGACACGCAGCGCTTGTGGTCGTACCGGTGGCCGCCAATCTTGACCTCGACGTACTGCATCTTCTCCTTGTAGTGCACGCCAAAGGCCGGTGACTGGTTGAGCGAGACGCCTCTCGGCACCATCTTCATGGGCGCCGAGACGACGAGCGCCGGCCGGTACGGCGCAGCGTGCTTGTGGTCCAGCGGGTGGCCGCCGATCTTGACCTCGACGTAGCTCTTGACCGGCACCTCGTACGCGTGCAGGCGCTGCTGGCTGGCCGAATGGCGCGCATCCCAGAGCGACGGCAGCGACGTCATGTCGACATCGACGAGGCCTATGCGGCTCATGCGTCAGCGTCGCGGATGGCGGAGACGGACGTACCGCGCTTGGGCCGGGCGAGCGTGGCCTGCATGTGCTTCGAGTCGATATCTTTCTTCGCCGCAACGAGGGACTTGGCAGTGATATTCGAAGTTGCCGTTGGGACATACAAACTTCAAGTGCAACGCAACCAATGCTTCGAGCCGCCAAACGAGCAATAGAAAGCCAAGTAGTATTGCTCTTTTCGTCAACGCGCGATTTCAATATGTCAATATGGATATGCCCGGGATGGACCGTGTCCGACCAAGGGCTCGGCAGCGGTGGACGCGTGGGATGCTTGAAGCACACTGAAGTAAATATGTCCATAGTTGTACTACAAAATCCTAGCAGTTCTGGGTGGGATGTACATGACGCAATGCGCTGCGGCATGGGCAGCGCGTCGATATCGACTCGGAACCAATTACAATTCAAAAAGGCTGTACCGTTCTTTTGTGTCAGTCGTTGTTTTCTGAGAAAAAAGAGTCGAGGAGCCCATTGATGGTCAAGTTGACCAAGTTGCACCAAGAACGTCTACAGGAGTGGGATTGTGAAATCTGATTGAGCAACCATGCGCAACATCAGCCTCTCTTGCGAGTAGGAAACTACTCAACTGTACTAACTGTACTGCTGCGTACTATTCTACGTGTAGAATCTCCCTCACACCACACAAAAGCACCGCAATAGATTTGAACGTGTGTTGGCAGAATCTAGGTTCACCAAGCCCTCGACACCAATTCTCGACGCCAATCTCGTGAGCGCTTCCTGGATACCAATCGGCAAGATGTTCAGTTGGCACCCACAAGTGGACATCCATATCTGAACAATAAAATGTCTGCCCATGCTGTAGCGTGAGAGGGTCGAGTATTCGGTAGTCATCGACCTCCGTTGTATACAAGGGGACCTACGCGCTACTAGTAGCCTTGAGCATAGTACGTACTATACCGAAAGTGACCCAAGAAGCTGCTGCACCACTTCAACCCGTCACTGCGTGTCCACACCTTGTGCTCACCACAGATCTATAGCCAGCGCCGAATTCGCGGATAATCGTTCCTCTAACGCGCATTCTGGGTCACAAGAACCTTGCGCACATGTGTCCCGTGCGTCATATTGCAACTGGTACGAAGAAGTGGCACATGTCGCTCGTAACCCATTCGAGCTCGATTCGTGGCTACGAGCGACTGCGACCGCCAGTCCGCGCCAAAGTCGCGCCAGCTGACCAATCACAGGCCGCACTCGCGTGCATCGCACACTATTTAAAGAATGTCGCCACCGCGTTATCGCACCATGGGACAACCCTGACAAGTGGACGCACGCTTGCAAGACACGAGCTCGATTCCCCCAAGTACACACCCGTGCAAGCTCCAAACGATCTGCATACGCAGCACGTTGTCCTACGAGGCGGTTGCCAGATTTGGCTTCATTCTTGCCATGGCGGTGCACATACGGGCACACTATTTACGTACAGTAGGACGTGCATGTCGCAGGTGATTGCCCAACTGGCCGGCGACAAACTAGGGCAACCGAGCACTTTGCGATTTTCCTCCAGCATGGGTTTCCTCGACAACCTCTTCCGGACCAAGCCGATCGAGGTCATTGAAGCCGAAGAGCGCAAGGAAGAGCTCCCGCGCGAGCTCGGCTTGCGCGACCTCATCATGATCGGCATCGGGTCGACGGTCGGGTCCGGTGTTTTTGCGACGACGGGCGACATTATCAGTGGCGCAGCGGGCCCCGCGGCCTTTATCGGCTGGGTCATTGCCGGTTGCTCGTGCATTCTCAGCGGGTTCGCCTACATGGAGATGAGCTCGCTCATCCCGTCGTCCGGCTCGACGTATGCGTACTCGTACCACATCCTCGGCGAGCTTCCGGCCGTCATTGGCGCGTGGCTCTTGACCCTCGAGTACGGCATGTCGGGTGCCGGTGTCGCGCGCTCGTGGGCCACCAAAGTGCAGCAGTGGCTCATCGAGGGCTCGCCGAGCGACAAGGCGCAGTACGACTGGCTCAATTTGCCGCACGCGTCGTTCCTGGCCGCGCTCGTCATGACCGTCTCGGTGCTCATCCTCCTCGTCGGCATCAAGTTTGGCAAGGTCTTTATCAACACGGTCACGGGCACGAAGATCGTGGTCGTCATCTTCATCATCTTTGCGGGCTTTACGGCCGCCAATTTGGACAACATGACGCCGTTCATTCCGCCGCGCGACGAAGCCAAGAACCGGTATGGCTTCCAGGGCATGATGCTCGGCGCGTCTCAAGCGTTCTTTGGCTACGTCGGTTTTGACGAAGTGTGCTGCCTCGCGGCCGAGGCCAAGGACCCACGCAAGATCATGCCGCGTGCGGTCGTCGGCACGATCCTCGGTACGATGTTTCTCTCGGCCTTTGCGTCGCTCGCGCTCTCGGGCATGATGAAGTACGATGCGGATCCGGAAGGCGGCTTTTACTTTTCCGCGGGCTTCCAGAACGTCGGGTACCACTGGGCGTCGACGATCGTGCACATTGGTGAAGTCGGGACGATGCCGGTTGTCGTCTTGATCTCGTTCCTTGCGCAGCCCCGTCTCATGTACGCCATGTCGGTCGACGGGCTCTTGCCCGAGATCTTTGGCCGCGTCGACAAGAACGGCAACCTTTTCTGGTGCACGGTCATCACTGGCGTCTTCTTTACGCTCTTTGCGATTCTGGTGCCATTCGACTACCTCTGGAACATTGTTTCGTTTGGCATCCTCGTCTCGTTCAACATGACCAACTCGGCGCTCATTTTGGCGCGGACGCGCGAGGCATCGCCCGTCTTTGCCTACAAGCTCACAGGCGCGATGGTCGGCTGCTCGTGCATCTCGATGTTCTTCTTTGAGAAGGGATATGTCGAGGTAGCGTCCGGCGGCGTCGGCTTCCTTGTCGCGGCCGTGCTGCTTCTCGCGGCCGTCATTGGCCTCGCGACAACCATTTACCTCAAGTGCCCGCAGAACGTCGGCCCTGCCGACTGCTACCGCGCGCCGCTGGTGCCGTTTGTGCCGATTTTGGCGATTACGATCAACTGGTACCTCATTGCGCAGCTCCCAGCCAAGGACATTGGCTTTGGCTTTTGCTGGATCCTCCTCGCGGTCCTCTCGTACTTTGCATATGGCTACAAGCACTCGGCCGGCAAGACCGGGTGGCAAGAAATGCTCAAGAACCAACTCGCGAGTCTCAACGAAGTCCGGCCGTCGATCACGTCCATGATTACGGATCAAACCAACATGGTGCTGCCCGGCTACGTCCCGCTCGAGAACAAGCCGACGCTCATTTTGCACTAGATTGCAGGACGAGGATAGGTTAATATCGCACCGCCCATTATTGTCCGTTCATTTTTCGCGCCATCTCAGCCAGTCCACCACGCAATCGTACGTGGTAGACAGAGTGTCCACCTGAACGAGCATGATGTGAAGATCGCGTCTGTGCTGATCAGACTCGCTCTGACGACCTGGGACACGTGCTGTCAATGAACATCACCACCACAATTCGTAGGCCACGAACGGGGCCACGGGCGCGCTACACGTGGGCAGGACAATGTGTACACATCTATGGTCTGGTAATATCGTCCAGTTGTCGAGTATTCGTTGTCGAGTAGCGGCGGTTGACCACAATCGGCCGGCACGACGGCTTGTTGGCGGGTTGGCGCCTCCGGATACGCTGAATATATCGCTTGTTCGGTATGTGACTTGGTTGTTGTAGTGTATTTTATGTGTTTTAAACAGTTTGCAGATCTTGGCTGAATATCCGGATGCGACCACAAACAACAACATTGTTCGACGATGCAAGCCGACGCGCAAGTCGCTGTCGACGTGGCCGGCGATGGCCGCGATCCCATCAACGCGCAGGCCTCGTCAACGCCCCGCGCCTCCATGGAGCATGAGCCGCGCGTCTCGATCTCGTCTATCTCGCTGGCCCACATGCATCGCGGGACGTCCAACGAGTACGCGTTCGATGCCACGTATGACACGTACCGCCCGTCGGCGCTGCCACCGATCGACGGCAGCAACGAGCCAACGGCGGTCATCGGCGACTTGCCGCGGTCGCCCGAGCGCAAGTGGCAGTGGGAGACCATGGTCGACGCGCGCGAAAGCAGCTCTGGCCGGTCGTGCGACGCGATTTTGTATGCGCTCTTTCGCAGCTCGTGGATCTACCTCGTCGTACTCGGTGTCATGGCCTCCGTCACGGCCTTTGGCGTCGACGCAGCCGTGCTAGGTATCACGGAGCTCCACGCGGTCGTGACCAACCTCGGGTCCAACTTTGTCTCGCGCTTCCTCCTCTACGTCGGGTACCGCGTGTGCATCCTCATGCTGGGTGTGACGCTCACGTTCTTCATTTGCCCGAGCGCCGCCGGCTCTGGCATTCCAGGTACATCGTATCTCATTCTTTACCGTTGATACCATCCAGTCGGGTGTAGAAATGCGATCCATCCTGGGTGGGTTTGTGCTGCCGCACTACTTGTCGGGTCTCGCGCTCGTCTCCAAGTTCCTCGGTCTTGTGTGCGCCCTCGGCAGCGGCCTCTCGATCGGGAAGGAAGGGCCTTTCGTGCACTTGAGCTGCATCATTGCCAACCAGCTGCTCCAGTTGCCGCTCTTCAAGGACATCAAGCGGTCGCCGGATCTCACGCACCACGCGCTCTCGGCGGCGTGTGCGGTCGGCGTCACGGCCGCGTTTGGCACACCCATTGGCGGCGTCCTCTTCTCGATCGAGGTCACGACAACGTACTACATGACGAGCAACTATTGGCGCGCGTTCTTTTGCTCGGTCGTCGGCGTCATCATGTTTCGGTGGCTCAACGTCCTCAGCGGCAACGACCGCAACGCGTCGCTCTTTACAACTGACCTCGACTTTCACTCGGCGTCGTTTGAGACCATCTTCTTCCTCTTCCTCGCGATCGTCTGCGGCGTCCTCGCTGGCGTCTTTGTCCGCACATTTTCGTGGTGTGTCAACGTCCGTCGCCGGTACACACTACTTGGTCTACGCGTCCTGACAAGCTCATGATGGATGCTGTAGCAATATGGGTCTCTGGGGCGCCAAGCCCTTTCGGTACGCAGCGGCGGTCGGCACCGCCTTTGCGATGCTCGACTACGCCTACGGCAACTGCATGCTGCTTGGCAACCGGTCGATCATCGACGACATGTTCCTCGCCAAGGACCTCGACCACTCGAATCACACGCTACTGTGTACGTTCTATCAACGCGTCGACAACGTCGTCGTTGCTGATATACATATTGTCAACTGTTAGATGACAAATTTGGCACCTACTGGGGCGCTCCGTCACTGCCGCTCAACCTCGGTCTCTTCTTTCTCATTCGGTTCCTTGCGACGGCGCTCGCGGCGAGCGTCGGCGTCCCCAACGGCATCTTTACCCCGGTGTTTGCACTTGGCGCAGTGCTCGGCCGTCTCTTTGGCGAGTTTCTCGCATACGTAGCCCCGAGCGCCAACATAGTGCCGGCGGGCTATGCGATCGTGGGCGCGGCGTCGTTCACGGCCGGTGTCACGGGCACATTTAGCATCGCGGTCATTGTCTTTGAGCTCACGCAACAGCTGACGTACATGATCCCCGTCCTCCTCGCGGTACTGCTGGGGCGTGCGATCGCGGGGTTTATCTCGCTCGACATGTACGAGACGATCGCGCGCGACAAGAGCCTGCCGCAGTGGCCCGACCTCACGCGGCAGAGATCGTATGCGCTCGTGGCCACCGACCTCATGCACGCGGTGCCGCCGTCGCACGTCCTCGCGCGGCGCCAGTCGCGGTCGTCGCTCGCGGATTTTCTGAGCACTGCGCCGGCAACCGTCGCCCGCTTTCCCGTCGTGGACGACGAGAGCAACCGCATCTTCCTCGGTGTCATTGAGCGCGACGAGCTCGAGGCGCTGCTGCAGACATGGAACCACGTCGTCGACGGCGTCGCTGGCCTCGTGCCCCGGCCTCACTTTGGCTTTTCGCCGCCGAATGGCCATGACAATGCGTCCGAGTTTGCATCGAGCCCCGACTCCGAGTCGGCGGCCCTCACGCCGCGGTCGCGCCACATGGGTTTGACGAGCCAGCTCGCGATCGCGGGCCTCACGAGCGACCAGACGCGCGACCTCCGCACGCAAGAACGCGTCGACCTTGTCGGCTGCGAGCTACTGAGTCTCGACGCTGAGAACGTGCACGTGCACCGCGATACGTTTGCGTCCAAAGTGATTTTGCTCATCTCGGTCCACAAGACACCCGAGCTGTACGTGACGGGCAAAGGCCGGCTCGTTGGCGCCATTTACGCCACCGACCTCGTCGCGCGGGGCCGGTCCTTTGCGCTTTAACGAATTCTATAACCAGTATGTGCTAGCGCTCTTCTCCACCGCGCAAGCGACCAGGATACATATTTCATGCCCTTGCAAGCGACTGACCATCGGCCCAATAATTTTGGCGCCCGACATCGGAATGTCGGTGACCGGCATTGTATGTGGGACGACGAGGCGGCGAGTGACGCGTGGCACGCCGAGCGTCCCGCAAACGAGGTGACGACTGGTCACGAGCGCTTGCCGCACGGCATTGCGCGATCGGGCCGAAGCTTCGACCTGCTTCGCCGGCCGCCTCTGTTGTCGGCTGAACGCTCGCCGACCCATCTGCCGTCGCCACCTGCAGAAAGCAGGCGTAACACTACGCTATCACATGGGCCCTCGAACCCATATTTCGGACCAGTCGCCTGTCTCGGGTCAGCTCCACGAAGCTGTGTATTCATACCGGTCGGTGCGAGCCAGGGTTGCTTCTTATTGCTTCTTATTGCACGCAGCCTTGGATTCCGACTCGAGGGCACTTTGTGCAGCTTCCTACTCGTAGCAAGGAAGCTCGTGAGCGACGCGGTTCCTCGATTGGGAGCTGGGAGCGGGATGGACCTGCTGCTTGCATTAGTACCTGCGACATGCGAGCGGACACCCTCCACACCGAGGGACTTGCCCGTGCCGCTTTCGATTTTTCTCTTGTTTTAAAAAATGCCTTGGGATTTGTATCGCAATGTTTGTAAACGCCGCTTCAACGAAAAATGCTGGATGTGCACGCGATCGCGATTGGCTGACGCGGCACAAGTGCAAAGTGATTGGTGCAAAGTGGGTGGAGGGCTGGGGGACTGCCACGTAATTTTTTGGCGCAACTTGGCAACCTATACGAAAACGCAGTCGGCGGCGGAAATTAAAGATTAAATGCGTAGGGCTCGGGCTCGACCCGTGGCCAGTGGCTTGTGGTGCGGCACTGTCGAGCTCACTTTAGCTTTCCCCTTACCATAATCTCGTCGCGTGTTGTTTTTTCGGTCCAGATGATGTCCGAATAAATGATACCGCGCTTGCTTTTTGGTAACCCCCCCCGACGATGATGCAGCAGTAGTTGCCAACGCCGCGATGGCCTGTGCCCCCCTGAGAACCGAACTCTCGACCCAAGACTTTGACTTTACGACCTACGACACGAACAACAATGACCACCATGATGAACATGCTCCCGACGTTCCACGCGCCCCACGCCCTCTTTGGGCCCACTAGCGTGGCCTTCCACGAAGACGCGCTCGCCAACTCGCTCGAGCTGGACGACGCCGACGCGGCCAACGACATTGACGAGTTTGCGCAGCTTCTCTCCGCCGTCGACGACGAAGAGACTGCCAACGACATCGATGCCTTCACCGACCTCATCGAGTCGCTCTCCAAGGCGCAAGCCAAGGACGATGGCTTCAGCGACGTGCCGACGTTCACCGAGACGGACCTTGACGCCCTCCTCGGCCACGACGTCGACATGACCGCCGACCTCTGCGACGACGACGAGTCCGATGATGAAGACGAGGACGACGACGACGCGTCGACGACGAGCCCGCTCGACTCGGCCGCCGCGCTGTCGCACCTCGACTTTCGCACGTACCAGACGCCGATCGACCCTCGGTGTTGCATCAAGACGCCCGTCTTCAACAAGATCGACCCGCGCATCCCGCTTGCGCTCATCCCTCGCATGGACGTGACGTTTGGCATGCGGGCGCCCGCCACCCTGGCGGCGCCTGCGTTCCCGACGGCTGCGCCCGCTTCGCCCATCTCGGTCTGCTCCTCGGCGGTCGACGCGGACGAAGAAGCGTACGTGCACGACCCGGCTCGCTGCTGGGTGTGCAAGAGCAACAAGTCGGAGGCGCGCAAGATGGTGCTGCACCGCTTCGTCGAGAAGCGCCACCGCCGCAACTGGAAGCGCGGCGCCCGGTACAAGGCCCGCTCGCGCGTCGCCTCCTCGCGTGTGCGGGAAGGCGGTCGCTTCGTGACCAAGTGCCAATGGTTCGCCCCGAGCTACGAATGAAAATCCAAGAAAATCCAAGAAACATCAAGAAAATCCCGAAAAAAGAAAACAAAAAAGACATCATGTGCATGTAGTACTAGTTACGTAGGAAATATTCTCTCTCCTTGAGTTGATGCTCGTTTCGAGCCCACTGGTCAATATGACTTTTGTATTATCTGTTCTTTTTCCTTTATACGACCCCTTGGAGCACTGCGTGGACAGCGTGCGCTTCCTTGGCACTTGAGCTTGTCAAGGACGGACTAGACATCGCCAGCGTGATGCACACGTGAATGTTGCAACGTACCAGAGGGCATGCAGGCGCAGTTGGTTGGGCGACTCTGGCGAGATCACGGCCAGCATCGGCCGGCACGTCTTGACCACGTCGGCGCTACGAGGGTTCGTCACGCGCACCCATGACCATCAAAGGGAACGCACGCAATCGACAGGCGCATGATGGCGCTCGGCGTCGTCACACGCTGGACGAGCACGGAGCTCTACGCATTACTGTGAGCAGCGCTGCGCGGTTGACTCCCGAACCATGTGCGACGCCAAGAGGTCCCAGACGCCAAGGTCCCCGTTCGAATAATGAACGAAAAAGACTGCACTGCGCGACGGCGACCATTGCAGCCCGGCGACATGCACGCGGCTTGTCGGTGCCTCGGCCCAGCTCGCAATCGCGTGCGCGAGGCCCTTGTCAAAGAGGCTACGCAGGCCGTGTCACGATCCGGCACTTGACACATTGATACATGCGTACCGGACACTGCCGTCGGCGTACCCCACGAGCAAGTACGTTGGCAATAAGGGGCTAAACGCCACGGCGGTGACGGCGCCGGCACACGGATCACTGAGGTAGGCCTTGACCGGCAGCTTCTTCTCAAAGCGGCTATGGAGCTGGAGCTTGCCGGTATGGGACCCGACGACAAACCTATGTACGACAAGGGGACTCTCGTTTCTTAGCGATACGACAGGCGGATCGTACAAGCTCGTGTCCGAGGGGAGCACGGCAAGCAGCGTCGCGGTCGGGCCAAATGCGACGGTCGGGGCCGTCTCGATGACCGACGTCTTGACCAAGCGCACGCGCCCACCAATCTCCACGCAGCTGTCCATGCCCAGTGCGCTACCAAGATGGACTCGGGCTTTGTTACAAGACAAGACGTACTCGGTCGCATCGGCCGCCGACTCGACAATGCCCCAGAGAATCACACGTCCACGGTTGTCGAGGGACCCGATTTGGAAGTTGGCGCCTTTTTTCCCAGACGGCATCGGCACCACCGAGCACTAGCAACAGCGTCAAGTGCGTCGCTTGATTCCCACGTACTATCGGCGACGCGTGGCTGTTGCGCGCGTACTTCATCCCGGCCGTCGCGTACGACGGTGGCGCGACCTTGACACGGCGGCCACCGACATGGACTACGAACGACTCGCCCCAAGAGGTTCCGTGCGTGGGATGCCGCACCTTCAAAGTTGGGCGACACTGGGTGGCGGAGGTCCCAGAGCTGCACGTCGCCTTCTTCTGTGCCACAGAGTGCAAAGAGGTCTCGGTTCGGGCCCAGACTGCAGCATGTCACGTTGCCCTCGGCGCGCAACCACCTACGATCATGGAAGGCTGCGCCATCCTTGCAGCGAGATACCGAAGCGGCGACGCGACTTGGTTGACGTCCCACACACACAAGATCGACTTGTCGCTAAACGCTGCACTCTCGTTGTTGTTGTCGACGCTGGGCGCGTACGCGGCGAGCAGCCAGTGCGAGACCGTCACGGAAAAGGTCACGTCTACGTCCACCATGTCGACAACGATAGGGAGCAATGGAAGCGCACCGACAAGGGTTCGGTCAGCCAAGAGCGGCTGCGCCTTCGTCTCGACCTGCGTCGTCTCGAGCTGCGTGAGCTTGCGTGTGCTAGGCTGGCGACTGGTCTCGGCGCCGTCCTTGCGCGACGCGACTCGAATACTATGTACAATATTCTCCTCGGCCAGCACTTCGCAAACCTAGACAAAAATAAGAATAAGAAAAGGACACGACGGTTGGGCGAAGTACGTGCGCTGCCCGTTCGAGGAACGTCATAAAGTGCCGTGACGACGTCGTGCTGCTCTCGATGTCGTCGTGACCCCGGTCGTCCGGAAAGTGCATGCCAAAGTCCTTGGCGTCACCGTGCTCGGTCTGCGTGCTGACGCCGCGCGCGTCATCGTTGGTCTGCACAAACACTTGGCGGACCGCACCGAGGCGGAGCTGCTGCATGTACTTGTCGAGGGCATTGGCCGGTGCAAGTTGGAACACATCAAACTTTTCGACGTCGAATTTCTTCTTTTCGAGGATTTCCTATGAATCGTCGGAGCCAGCCACTTGATACATTGAAAGAAGACCTTGATACGCTTCGCGCGCGGGTCCACGGCCTGCTTCAAGCCCGCAATCGAAGACGAGACAACGTTGTTGGACGATGCTTTTTTGGCGTCTTTCGACTCGGCCCGCGACGTCGACTTGGCCGATGACGACGATGGCGTCGACGACCGCGACTTGCTCTCGGCTTGGAGCGCTTCGCGGATCTTCTTGACCGTCTCTTCGTCGGGTTTGTTGTCCTCGCCGGGATCGTTGTTGCTGCTTTTCGCAGCCTTTTTCGCTGGCTCGTCCGTGCGGTCGCCTTCGTAGTTCTACAGCCATCGCTCGCGTGAGCGCCTTTGTCGACGAAATGCTCGACCTCGAAATCGTCGTCATAGTCTTCTTCTTCTTGGCACTCTTCGGCGTTGGCATTGAGCGCCGCCAGCTCCTGCGCTTTACGGAGCTCGCGCTGCCGGGCCTCTTCCTCGCGGCGCGCAAGCTCGAGCGCTTGTCTCTCGAGTTCGTCCTTTCGGCGCTTGGCGTCTTCGAGCTCCTTTTGCTTTTGGCGCTTGGCCTCGCGCCGCGCCGCTTGCCGCGCCTTCTCTTCTTCGTCGTCCTTGGGTACCTACAAACGGTTTTACGTTGACGTTGGAGGAGGAGGATGCGTCGTACGGCAGCGCTGGTCGGCGACGTCACGGCCGGTGTCGGTGTCGCTGGAATGGCCGTCGCGGTCGGCGCGGGCCCGGCACCCGGATCAGGTCGTTTTTTCGACGCCTTCTTCTTGGCCTTGTCGTCGCCGGCGGTGCTGGAGGGCTTGGGCTCGGCCGCGCCAAGATTCGAGAGGTTCATCTTTGGCACGTCTGTCATGGAAGGCGGTTTGGTCGCGGTGGCGGGCGGCGTCTTGGGCTTGCCTGGCGTTGCAGCCGGCGGTGTCTTTGGCGTCGCAATCGTCGGGCCCGCGTCTGGCGCCGCCTTCTTGGAGGCCTTCTTCGCAGCCTTCTTCATCTCGCGCCTGAGATCATCGTCGTCGGCCTTGGGCTCGGCCATCTCGTCGTCGTCGGTTGCCAAAGATCGTATCGCCGGTTGACGCTAGAACAACTGAATTTTTCATTTTCGATTGGATCTTCAACCGTTGCTCATGGAGCGGAAGGAAGTCGCTTGCAAGCGCGGTGAGGAAAAGCTGAGCTACAAGCATGCGAAAGAGTGCGACGACCTCGACGCGGCCGAGACCAAGTCGTGCCCGAGCGACGACGACGCGCAAGAGAAATGGGACCTCGAGGTCGAGAAGGAGTGGGTCGCCAAGCTGCAGGACCCGAACGTCGGCAAGATCCAAAAGGCCATGCACCCGCGCGGCCGCAAGATCAGCGACGGCTTACGCATGTACATTTGTCGTCTCCAGCGTCTCGATGACCATGCCATTTTCCGTAGCAACTTTATGAACATGCGCTGCGGCGAGACAGGCCGCGTTCTCTGGCTGCAAGAGCGGTTTACCAAGGAGATGTACGAAAAGGAGCAGCGAGGTATGCTGCCTCAGCCACGCGCTCTCTACATCGCTACCGTAGCGGTCGTGCCCAAGGCCATTCTGCAGTGTCTTGCGGTCTCGCGCGAAATCAACTTTTCGTCAACTGAAGAGATCCACAACTTTCGCCTTGAACAGCGCGTCTACTTGCACGGCAAGTGCTTGGAAGGTTGCTCGCTGCCATTGCACCACGTACGACCGACACGTTGTAGAGTGGCTGTTTGCCTTTGGCTACGTGATTCCCGGCTCGACCAACTCGTGGCAGCAGACGATCGAGTCGGCCGGCGCCGACAACATGCTGCCTGCCGACCTCATCAGGTACCCGCGCGGCTCTTCTCGCTTGGTGTAACACGCTGCTAGCGGCAAAATCACGATCGAAACCGGCTTTTACGACGCCGAGATGCTCATCGCCAAGACGGTCTTTCGCATATTTTACGAATAGCCGCTCCGAATATATACGAATACGACACCACGTTGGATGCGTTCACTTGTCGACGTGATCGTCACTGGCGGCGGCTTGGGCGACGAAGCGCGTCACGCGCGCTGCAAACGCTTGCAGTCGTCGGTCTGCCGCCGACCGCTCGTCGGCGAGCGTGGCGCGGAGGGCGTCGACCTCACTCTGTAGCCGACGTTCGAGCTCGAGGCGCTGCATGCTACTGTCCTCGGCCTTGGCTCGCTCGACGTCATACCGCGCTTGGAGATCCTAGCACAAAACACAGTCGTGCGCAAGCGAGAGCAGATGAGGCGACGCACCGCCACGCGCGCGTCGTGGGCGAGCGTTGCTTGGGCTAACGTTGCTTCCAAATGAGCCATGCGGTCCATCGTCTGGTCGAGCTTGCGCTGGAGGCGCACGAACTCGAGGTCTTTGGCGCCGTCGGACTCGATATGAGCCTGCGCTGCCGCACGGAGCTCTACTATTGTGCGCTCCAAGTTCGCGCGGTCGGTCTCGTGCTCGGCCCGGAGCCGCGTCTTGTCGTTGCGAAGCCGCTCGATCGTGTCGAGGTGCTTCTCGACGTCGCGCTCGAGCGCCACGCGCATGCTGCGCACGTCGGCGAGCTGCGCCTCGATCGCAATTACGGACCGCTCAAACCGGTCTTGGGTCTCCTGTTCCATCTTGGCGAGATGGCTCGCGAGGTCCTTCTCGTGCCCGAGCTTGAGCTGGAGGAGGTTGCTCTGGAGAGTATCGTTGGCGTCGCGCAAGTGCAGTGCGTCGCGTGTTGCCGTCTCGAGCTGGTGCTGGAGGCCGCGCACCTGGTCTTCGAGCGCGCCTTGCGTGGCATATCGAACCGCCGGTTTGCGAGGTTCACTTTGGTCTCGCCTTCGCTCCTGGCGTCGGCGAGCTTGTGCTCTGCGGCGCTGCGCTCGTCCATCAGGTGCTTTTGAAGCCGTTCGCACTCGATCTGTGCCGTCTGCAGCGACGCCTTGGCCTTGCTCAAGCTGCCTTCGAGGTAGTCGCGCTCCCGTGCAAAACCCTTGCGCTCGTTCTCGAGCTGCTCCAAGACGCGTTCATGGCTGAGCTCGGCTTGGAGCGCGTGGTCCTTGGCGCGGAGTAGCTCTTGGTCGAGTTTGTGCTTGACGATCTCAAACTCGTCATACTCTTTTCGTCGGCGCGCGTCGGCTTCATTGTACAAGGTCTTGTAGTCGTCGGCGGTCTTGAGCGCTTCAAGCTCGCGCATCTGGTACCGGTCGCGGTCATCAGTGAGCAAGCGGACGTCTGCATGCAGCTTTTGTATTCGCCGTTCGCTGGTTTCGTTCTGGTCCTCCTACAAAAGAATGAGAGTTTTCGCGTTCAAATTGCGAGATAGGATCGTACGAGGACGTGGACGTGCTTCTTTGTAGTCGCGACCTCTTCCTGGAGCTTCTCCGTCTCGGCCATGTACGTCAAGAGCAAGCGCGCCTCCTCGTCGTCCTTGCGCGATCGGTCCTCGTCGATATATGCCGTCTCGTCGTGCACGATCTCTACTGGCTCTTCGACGACCTCTTCTTTCAAGTTGGGCGCGGACGCCACGCTGTTGAGGTTGCGCCGCAAACACGCGTCGACGAGCTCCAGCGTCGCCATCGACACGTTGTTGCCCATGAGGTGGAGGCGCAAAAGCGAATGATTGTCCTGCAGCATCTCGGAAAGCGCGTGGCCACCGACAGAGCCCATGTCGTTCCAGCGCAAGTCGAGCTCTTGGAGCGAGTGATTCCGGCGGAGACCAGCAGCGAGGAGCGTCGCGCCGTCGGGGCCGATGCTGTTGTTGCGCAAATCGAGGTGCGTGAGCGTCGTGTTCATCGCGAGGGCGGCGCTGAGCGCCTCGAGTCCGTGCTCGAGGACGCCGACGCAATTCCACTCGAGGTTGATGCTCGTGACGCTGTCGTTGTGCTTGAGAAAGGCCGCGAGGTGCACCGCCCCGTCAGCTTGAATGCGGTTCCCGCGCAGGTCCAGCACGCGCTTCGCAGGGTATTGCCGCAAGAGCCTGCACAAGGCCGCGCACCCGTCGTCGCCAAGGTACGCGTTGCTCAGATCCAAGACGACGCCATCGGCTTCGGCCCGCGCCCGAACCTTCTCGTCCAGAGACTTCATCGCGGATCTCGCTCCCGCAACGTGATTGGTTCAAAACCCAACGGCCAATCAGGCGTTACATGCGAGTTTGCACTTTCCGAGTCGGCGCCTTGTCGTGCTGCCACGCACTCATTCTGCCACGCGACAGGATGGACTCCATAGTCCTGCGACTCGAGTTATTTGAGTTTGGTAGCTGTGACAGTACATAAACGTCGTTGGGTCGAGTGCACCAAACCGACGCTGCTTGCGCAAGAGAGTCCAAGAAGACGTACGTGCTTGATTCATGTCGATGTAAGGTTCATGTAGGCGACGCGGGGAAAGCTGTCGGCAGTCTGTTGTTGACTATAACGCTGCGGGTACTCGAACTGGACGCACGTCACGTTGCTAAAGAATATGTACTCGATGGGCACGCCGGTATTCGGGTGCGGACTCGGTCGAACGCAGTTGCCTCGGTCGCCCGCGTCCAGGAGCTGCGTCGACTGCACCAAAGAGGCATACGCGCGCGATCCTTTACGTGTGTTGAAGTCCCCCATGAGGACGAGAGGGCCCGAGGCGTTCCGGACGTGGGCTAACACGAGCGCCAGCTGGGTGTCGCGGTCGGTCGTGCCGTCGTTGCCAAGATGGACGTTCATGACGTGCAGTGGAGTTCCACGGACGTTCAATTGCACATGCTACGAACAATTCATTCATACGCCCGTCGATAAACAAAGTACCTGGAAGCACGCGTTCTCGCCTTGCGATGGCAAGACGATGCCCGTGGCGGCCAGAATCGGGAACGACGACAAGAGGGTGCACCCAAACGAGTCGGCGTCGGTCGCGGGGCTAGCAAAGCTGTACATGCCCCGATGCAGCGCCAGGTACAGCGCCAAGTCCAAGCTTCCCGACCCTGTTTGCATCGTGTCCGACTCCTACACATCCCTTCAACATCGACTCAAACAATCTTTCTCAGCCACCTGGAGAGCCACAATGTGCGGGTTAAAGTCATCGAGCATCGATCGAATCGCGTTAAAGTTGTTGCCACCGGCTCGGTTAAAGCCCTACGTCTTTTCTTCAGAAACGTCAACTTGGGACAGTGTACCTGGTACACGTTGAAGCTCACAAGGCGCAGATCCGACGTCACGTTGCCCAATCTCACTGGTGGCGGGTTCGCGCCCTATGACGACCACCGCATTTGATGTTGCACACAAGGTAGTGCGTGCAGCGTACGGGCGAGACAGAGGACGCTGCGTAGAAACTCGCCATGGGCACAGCGCACACGCAGCACAGACCAGCGCCGACGACGAACCGGAGTCGGTCCATTGTTGACCGCAGCGTCGGTGTCAGCGGTCGCAAGACGAGAACGGCACCGCAAATGACACTGACCGTCGCGTAAAAGATGCGAAAGCGCTGGCCGCGGAAACCCCGTAGCTCGGCCGGTAAATAGTCGTACGTTGTGAGCGCGATCGTGAGTGCAACCAAGAGCGTGTAGACAAGCGACAGGAGAAATGCCCCAAACGAAAGCATCACGCTGCACGAACAGCGACGCGGCGTCGCAACGCCGAGCTCGTGGTCTGAGCAGAGGCGCTCGGGAGCAACGGGGTCGAGCGGCGCGCCGATCTCTGGCGACGCCATTAACGTGCCAGGTACAAGCAGAAGCCAGAGCGAAGGCAGTGCGAGGCCCATGGCGGCCGCCCCGCAGAGAGAGAGCCCCGGAAAGCTCGAAGCGTGGAACGCAATTGCGCCAGCTCCAAAGAGCGTCGCCGCGGCCACCGCCCCACCAAGCTAGATGGATGCTGGTTAGTCACTGTAGTCTGCAGTAGAGCCTACCGGTGCACACAAGACGCCGAGCGTATATGTCACGAGGACTAGCCACCTACGCGGTGAGTGAGCGCTGCGATGTCGTGATGCAATGGCGCACCCCCACGCATGGTGGACGCCGAGCCAGCGAGGAATGGCGGTCGGCGCAGTAAAGAGCCAGTGGGTGAAGAAGAAGAGGCTGCTGAGACCGACGAAGCCGAGGACGCGCCGCCACGGCGCCGCGCTTGCCGTTGTTGCGACCTTGGCGGGGTGCCAGTGGTAACGATAGGTGTGCAGTAGCACGCCACACAGCAAGGCGAGTGGGATGCACGAAAAGCCCGAGCCTGGCAAGTCGAGAAGCGGATTGAGCGACAAGCCGGCCGAGCGCAGCCACAAGAAGAGCGCATTGCCCAGCACAAGGCCGTGCAACGCCATCGCAGGCAGCGTCACGGAGCCATCGATCGAAACCACACTGGTCTCAGACGACCACAGCGCCAAGGACACGGTTAGCATCGCCGTGAGGCCGACACACGCCGTCTATCCGTACTGAGTTCTCCATTCATATCGTAAACCTCGGGATCATACCACGAGGTGGGTTTCGGGTGACGCGTCGAGATGCCGGCTCAAGAGGCAGAGCGAGCCAAGGCTAACGCCGACGCCGTAGCCTTTGGCGCAGTAGACACGCAACGTATGGGTCATCAAGCACACGGGAGGACAGGTGAGGAGGATGCTCAAGTAGACCACCTGGCTCGGCAACCCCATCGCGTCGAGCGAGAACCAGTAGATGTCCCGCGGCAGCGCCGACACGAGCGACCACAACACGACGCCGGCGCCCGTGTGCGCAGCGAGCAGCAGCCCGTCGCGGCCTCCGACGTCCTTGAGAAGCATCGCTGTTTCCTAGTCAGTGAGAATGTGCAAATGTGAAAAGGAGAAATGGAGAAAGAGAAAAGGGAAACGTTCACTTCCAAATCGAGGCTCGAACCGCCGCCCAATGCTTCCTGCCACCACAAAGTGGCCCAGCATGACCCAAGGAGACCCAAGGACAGAAAAGTTGAAGCAAAGAGAGACAAAAAGTGTATATATTTAATGCATTTCGGCCTACCCGCGACCTAAGTCTTGCTCGAGGCAATCGCAGCGAAGAAGTCGACGAGCACGTCTTTGCCCGTGCGGAGGTTGCGGAGGCGGATGCGTTCGTTCTGCAAGTGCGCGCGGTCCGACGCTTGGCCCATGGGGAAATGCATGCACGGCGCCTTGAGCGTCGTCTTGAGAAAGGTCGTGATCTACCGCGCGATCGACATTTTGTGCAGAAAGCAAGACCATATACCTGCGACATGCCGCCTTCACGCACGAGCATCGGCTTCTTCTTCCAGTGCTTCTCGAGCGCTTGCTCGGCCGCCCGAAAGTACCGCTACATCGACCATGAGCTTTGGATCGAGTTGACAAGACGTACGCTGTGGATGTCGCCAAGCCACCAGGGCACATTGGTCTTGACGGTCACCGACAAGGTGTTGGTCGTCGAGAGCAAATCAAACTGCGCGCGAATGTGCGCGAGCACGAGCCGCTCAATCTCGGCCGGCGACTGGTCGGGCACGGACCGCAGCGTGAGCTCGGTCTGCGCCGACTTGGCAATGATAGACGAGTTGTCGATCGAGCCTTTCACGGACGTGACCGAGACGGCCGGGAAGCGCCAGCGGTTCATGAGCACGTCAACGAACGACGCTTTTCCGTGGCTTCCAAAGGCCGGAAGGAGCGCTGGCACGCCAAGCGTCTGCTTGTACGCGTCCACATCAAACTCGAGCGACTCGAAGAGCGCGATCTCGTCCTCCGAGACGGGGCGCACGGCAGCGTAGAACGCTGGCTCTGTAAACCGTCCGGTCGTCGGGTCGACGATGCGGTTCAACAGCGAGACGACATCCAACATGGGCTCACGGATCGCGCCGCCGTCGACGCCGGCATGGAGGTCGACGCCCGGCCCGTCAACCTTGAGCTGGATCTCGAGGCACCCACGCATACCGTACGTCAAGCACGGTGTCGTGTCGCCAAGCCAATAGTTGTTGGAGATGAACACCAAGTCGATCGGGCCAAAATACGACAAGTTGTCTTCGACCGTCTCGCGAATGCCCTGCGATTGGTTCTCGCCTTCGCCTTGGTACAAAAACACAAAGTTGGGCATGTCACTCGAGAGCTTCGGACGCTTCGTCGATGACGCAGCGGCATCACCCTCGGTCTCGGTCGCTCGACCGCCTTGGCTCCGCGCAATAAGTTCTCGGATCGCAAAGAGCGTCGCGATGATCGGGCCCTTGTCGTCGGTCGTACCGCGGCCGTAGAGGTATCCGTTCTGGCCCGTGAGCATGAACGGGTTCGAGTCCCAGCCGTCTTCCATGCTTGCCGGCTGCACGTCACTACGCTCCCACGGTTAGCTACACGTTGGAGGATGTCCGATGACGTACTAGTGGCCGCAAATGAGCACTGTGGGCTTGGTCGGGTCGTTCCCAAGCTTGCCAATCACGATCGGGTTGATGTTCGGACCGCAGTGCACCAGTCGGCACTCGGCGCCGAGCTGCCGCAGCAAACCCTACGCTCTTTTGGTCAAGACAGCGCAAACGTGGTGTCGGTACCTTGACAAACTTGGCGGCCATCCAGCAATCATCGACTAACTGCGGGTCGACGCTGACGCTCGGGATGCTCACAAACTTGCGCAAGAGGTGGATCATGGACGCGTCCGACGTCTGCTTGTTGTACATGGCGCTGACGCTCATGAGACTCGAGTCCATCTTGAGCTTCTGCGGTCGCGCCGGTCCTTGGCTCTCGTTCGTATTCGAGTTGGTGTTGGTCGAGTTGGTGGTGTTGGAAGACGGGCGCATGTTGGAGATGAAGTCAATGTCCCACACCTTGACGGTGCTGTCCTCGGACGCGCTAAAGACAAACATCTCGGTGCTGAGAATGCTCGAGACGCCGCCGCGGTGCCCATGCAGCGTGTGCACGCACGCGAGCGACTGCGTGTTCCAGATGCGCACGGTCTCGTCGGCCGAGCCCGAGCAGATCCGGTTCTTGTCTTCGAGGCTGCACACCGAGAGCACCTACATGGCCATTGATACATTGAAAGAATACGAGGACAACGTACGGCTGCGCTGTGGCCCTTGAGAATGCCGTTGCAGCGCAT